AGCCATTTTCTGGGAACCAAGTAAAACATTAAGGCACTGGGCATGTTACATGTCCAATGTCACATGCCATTACATGGGAGCTGGCATTCTTTGGGCCTGTATCTTGTCCATATGGGTCCAACTTTGAGTAGACAAGGGAGGAAAGGATGAAGGAGTGTAGTTGGGAGAGGTTGCTCATTCATTTCCAACCACCCTGACTTGAAATAATCCACAGAAATTGTATTATTTAAATCACTGCTTGGCCAATCACTTAAGCATATTGCTACCTAGCTCTTACATCTTTGGCTAACCCATTTCTATTAATCTGTGTATTGCCAAGGGGCTGTGGCTTACTGGCAAGGTTCCAGCCAGGGCTACATGGCTTCTCCCTGACTCCGCTCAGCATTCAGTTTAGTTTTCCCCGCCTAGCTCTATTCTGCCCTATCACAGGCCAAAGCAGTTTCTTTATTCATTAACCATTAAAAGCAACACATATACAGAAGGACTTCCCATACCAGAGGAGAGGAGGCTCAGGGGAATCAAGCTACTACAGATGTTAAACACAAAGCCAAGAATGTGGTGTTTCCCACTAAAAACTCAAAAGTATAAAAGTGCTTTCAAAGAGCCAGGGAGATGACTCCATTGGTAAAGTGCCTCCTGTGCAGGCGAGGGCCCAAGTTCAGATTCTTTACCACCAATGTCAAAACCAGACGCAGCCCTGCCTCTGTAATCTCAGTGCTGGGGAGGCAGAAAGAGGTTGGTCCCTGAAATTCATTATCAGTCTGCTTAGCCACTGGTTAAGCAGTGGTTAATGATAAAGGTTAATGATAAAATATTATTGTTTAATGATAAAGGAAAAAAAACTGCTCTGACCTTCATACACATGCGCGCGCACACAAACATGCATGCATGTGAACCTGCATGTACATCCCCATATAAACATGTACAAACACACACAAATATTTCTAGCCTTGCCCCTTACATTTCCTCCATTTATTTCCATTAGATGGGAGTTCTTCAATGTTGTATTCAGCAATAATTTATCTTTTTCTTTCAGGAGCTTATGCAAAAATCTTTAAACTTTCTAAAACCAAAAAGAATTAAGAGGAGGATCTGACTCCGAGTTAGAGACGTTCTGAGACACCAGCAGAATACTTTTCATGTGCGTTTTGTAACCGCCTCCTGATGTTTACAGAAACTAGAGTTCAATGAAGTTGATGACTTTCAGGTCACAGCTGAGTGGTCCTGTCAGTACTCTGACTCACAGACCGGTCTCCCTGGCACGCCCACAATGCTGACACCAAGATTAGGACAGAGGAGACCTGCATGGGAAAAGGCTTTTCTCCCGATTTCTGGGCAAATCAACACAGAGTGCCTATAGCTGGTGGGCAGTGGGCCTGGCTTTCCACACTAGCACAGGCTTGGAGCGACAAGCTGAGTATGTTATACTTGGGGACGTGTCCACCTGTGCATGCCAACTCTTTCTCAATATCTAAGCTCTTTGCAAGGTCCCTGGGCAGTTAGGTTATCTCTCCGATAAACGGATTTTCATTGTTCTGAAATATCACCCCCATCCCCCGTGGCCTCTACATGCTTATATTAATGGCACCTCCTCAGCCTTCCAGGACTCCTTCAGCTCTGGCTTCCCCTGCAGTCTGTCTTTATACTTTGTGTCTCTCCTGGTTGGGGAGACAGATCAGTGCTAAAGATCCTATGAAGTACACTCAAGGCTCTGGTTTACCCCCAGCACCACACACACACAAATAAATTAACCCAATATGTCTCCTGTGACTGGACTATCATTGGCTCCTGCACCTTTATCCCCCTCCTCCCGGGAGGCTCAGGTACCCCACTGGCTGGAGCTAACAACAGCTCAGCTGCTGGCACTTGTTGTTCCTGTTCTTTCTTCCTCCCCTCCCCTTCTCCGGAGTTGATCTTTAGGATCATATTGCATTTAACCTTTAGTTGTCTGTTTTCCAACTGGCTTTTGAGCTATTTCCTAATACATTTTTTCACTGTTAACAATGCAACACCACAAACTGGGAAAGTAGTCCAGAAACGGGGTTTATTTTGGCTCAGGAGTCTGGGCCAAGGCTGAGACACCAATCTGATGAGAGCCTTCATGCTAAGAGATTCCAGAGGCTGGCAGATCATCTAGAAAAGAAGCAGGGAAGCCTCTAGGCACAGGGGCTGTGCCTGTGCTAGCAGATTGCCCTGAGGTAATCCACCACCCATCCATTAATGACACAGGTGAATGGATCCTAGTGTGCACTCAGAGGCCCTATCACCTCTTAAAGGGCCACCCAGTGACAATAAGGCCAATGAATCTTTAATATGTCTTTCAGCGGTGACAAACCAGATACATACTAAAGATTTATATCTTTTCATGGTTTGTTTGTTTGTTTTTGGCTTTTCGAGACAGGGTTTCTCTGTAGCTTTGGAGCCTGTCCTGGAACTAGCTCTTGTAGATCAGGCTGGCCTCAAACTCACAAAGATCCGCCTGCCTCTGCCTCCCAAGTGCTGGGAATAAAGGTGTGTGCCACCACTGCCTGACTTCTTTTCATAGTTTTTAAAAAACGTTTTTCTAATGTTAAGGTAAAATGTGTGAATTAAGATTTTTCATGAGGTTAAAGCATCTGTTAAGTGTGCACTTGAGTGTCATGAAAGGCAGTCACCGTGGTGCACACATGTCACTATGGAGTCCCCACCACCACATCCCAAGACTTTGCTATCATTGAAAACAAAATCTCCACAGTCATTCTCAGTCCCTTCCTTTCTGTTAGTGTCTGCTTCCGTGACCACACCACCTATTCAGTTACCCTCATATTGCTTTGCCTAAGCCGGAACTTTGCAGCTACAAAAGAAAATCCACTTAGCCTTGCTGACCTGTTCAGTGCCATAGAGTTCAACCCCACACACTGCTATAGTTTTCCTACTGAAATAGCCACAGATGTTCTAACCATCTCAGGCCCTCCTGCAGTACTTTGCTTCTGATGCCCTGGAAGCTGTGGCCTGTAGTGGGAGCAGCAGGCTGCTTTTCATTCCGCCTGGCTCACGCACGGCTAGCTTAGTCCCAGAAATAACAACACACAAATTGTATTCATTTAAACACTGCCTGGCCCATTATCTCTAGAGAGTTAGTTACTGGCTAACTCTCACATCTTGATTAACCCATTTCTAATAATCTGTGTAGCATCATGAGGTGGTGGCTTACCGGGAAAGATTCAGCATGTCTGACCTGGTGGCTGGCTCCATGGCATCTGCCTCATTGCCCTCTTCCCAGCATTCTGTTCTGTTTACTCCGCCTACCTAATTTTCTGTCCTATCAAAGGGCCAAGGCAGTCTCTTTATTAACCAATGAAAATAACACATAGACAGCAGGCCCACCTACATCATTTCCCCTTTTTCTATTTAAACAAAAAAGAAAGGCTTTCACTTTAACATAGTAAAATTACATACAACAAAACAGTTATCGAGTAAGAATTACAGTTAAAATATTTATACCTATTTTATCTTTATCATAATAATGAAAAACTATAACTAACCATTCTTCAACTCCATCAAAGACTCCAGAAGGATATAATATTACCTAAGTAAACAAGAAGTAAGCAACTTCCAAAACTCTAGAAATGACAGAGACATCTTGCTGCCTGGACAGTCACCCAAAGTTCCTCTGTACTGTTGGGGTATCCATCTTCAGCCATTAGGCCCATAGTATCCAGCAGATTTTTCCATGAAGCAGGAAATTTCAAAGGCAGTTCAGTCACTATCTGCTGTGTCCTGCAGAATGTCTCGCAGACTCTTTCATGAATCAGGAACCCCGAAAGATCATCTCACCTTTATGCAAGTTCAGCAGTCCTCTCTCTGCGGGTTCTCTGTGTCCAGTCTATGCAACAGTCTAGGCAAGAGCAGTTTCTTGCCCAAATGGCTAACCAACTCCATAAGGAGCCTCTTCGATGCCCATCTTCCTCTTGAAGTAGATTGGTGCTGTCAGGAGCAGACATGTCTCAATGTCATGAAAAACCCTAAGTTATTAAAACATTAAATGCCATGTTCTGTAGTCTTTGAAAGATATGAAGAATGCCTATCTAAAATATATCTATGCACATCTAGAAAATCTAACTATTATGACTACAAGCTTGACGATTATCAATGATTATCCATTAACAACCTATATATCCTAAACATACATTACATTTTAAATGAACTACATAATCACAATACCTTAATCAAGAGCAGAAACATATATACATATAACAAAATTGACCTTAAAATCCATAACAAAGCAAATTATTCATATCTATATCATATCCCCCTTTAAATGTAAAAGAACATTTTATAAACAATATCTGGGAATATGGACGTAGATATTTCTCTCCAAACTTCTTCCTGCTGTATAGGGGCGCTGTTAATCAGGTCTTTCACAGTAAACCTGTTTGCTAGCTTCATCTCAGTTGACAGTTGAATGAAGTAATTTTTTGAGGGTGTTCACAGCAACCTTTCAGGAGGATGGGGTCTATCATACCATATTGGGATAGAAGCAATCCACAGGGTCTCATCCTCTGTGAAAACAAAAGAAGAACTTTTCCAAAGCATCATAACCTTAGATCCAAATTTTGAAGCAAGGTATTTTCAAAATATCTATCTTGGATTAGTTCAGCAGCATTTATAAACAAATAGCTTTTAGCAGCTGTTGCTCCTTCCTCAGCATTCAAACAATTCAAAGAGAGCATAATAGCATACAGTATCAAGATTCTCTGTGTATTTTCCATCTTTATGCGGCTTCATTTTAACCTCTATTTCTTTTATTTTTACTTTTACTTTTTGAGACAGGTTCTCTGTATATCTTTGTCCTGGAATAACTCTGTAGACCAGGCTGTCCTTGAACTCACAGAGATCCACCTGTCTCTGCCTCCCCAGTGCTAGGATTAAAGGTGTGTGCTACCACACCTTGAACTCTCAGAGATCTGTCTGTCTCTGCCTCCCAGGCATTGGGATTAAAGGTAAATGCTAGGACACCTTGAAGTCACAGAGGTCAATCTGCCTCTGCTCCTTGAAGTCACAAAGGTCAAACTACCTCCGTCTCCCAGGCATTGGGATTAAAGGTGTATACCACCACAGTGGCCCATCTGGCACCTCTCACAACAGGTATGACAGTCCCCATGGGGGAAACCAGAAGGTGTCAGCATCCCAACAAAGCACCCGTGAAGCCCATCCCTGAAGGCAATGTGTTTCTGAAACCAGCTTTGAAACCCATGTGCAATTGGATGGAGTATCAGAAACAGAATAGTGTTTATGGGGCCAGGGACCATCTCGCCCTCTTGCAGCCAAAAAGCTCTACCCTTCCTGTGATGCGTATGTTCAGTTTGTGGTTTCATGTTTATATATGTACGTATTCGTGGAGGTGTACAGGTATGCACGCGCATGTGGAAGCTGGAGGCGAACTTCAAGTGTCTTTCTCAATCACTCTCCACATTATTTTGTTGAGACAGGATCTCTCGCTGAGTTCACTGATCAAGCTGAGCTTTCCTGATTTCACCTCCAGACACACCTCACCATGCCTGACTTTTTACATGGGTACCTGGAATCTACACTCAGGTCCTCATGCTTGCTTGCAAAGCAAACAATCTGTCAACTGAGCCATCGCCATAGCCCCCCAAATTCTGTTCTTAAAACCATGGTACTCGGGTCTTTAAATGGCCAGCAAGGTACTGAGAATATTGTCTGGGTTCTAGAAGTTATGTCACAAATCAGCAGCTGCCAACTGGCAAAGGGAAAGGTAGACCATCAGAGACATCAGAGTCCTGAACAAGCCCAGGAAAGTCATTCATGATGCAGTAAATGGGCCAGGAATGTTCTGCATGCAGTACAGGGAACACACCAGAAGCATGTACTCTGTGGACAGAGAAAGTACAAGCATCCCAGCAGAGCACACGGGACTGCACATGACTCCTTTGGACAGCCTCTCAGTTGAAACACGGATTCAGTTCACATCTCTAACAAGGACAGATGCTGTCTGGGCTTTCTCTCCAAAGAAAGGAGGGCACTGAAGTCCGAGACTAGTCCGGCTGGTCTCCAAGGGTGGGCGGCCCTCTCTACCTCCACCACATTTCTGATGAGTTTGTTAAATTAGTGGCATTAAACCTGCTTCCTTTTCCCTGAAAAATTACCTCACCCTGACATGGGGTGATAGAGTCGAATACAGCACACACGTCTCACCTGCTCGCTTCCGCCTCCACTGCTCACTGATCTTACAAGACTTCCTTGGTTGAGAAAGTCTCTCTGAAGATGATCTTTGTTCCCAGAACTGTCTCTTTCTTACAACTTAGAAACGTCTCTTTCTGCTGGTTCCTAAATCTCAGGCTTCATTTAACTTACAGAGCTCTAGCCAGTGTTGTCTCCCTTTAAGAAACCTTGGACTCTCCTGGCTTGTGTGAGAAGCTCTGTTTTCTCGAACTCGGTCCCTTTGGGGAAGGAAGGAAAGAAGAGTTCCTCTGCCTTGCATAAGTACCTGCTACAAAGCGAACAAGTCAGTGTGACTCTACCTCCTTCTTTTGGTTGACTTGGGGTCTCATGCAGCCCAAGCCCAGGGTGCCAGGCAGCTGAGGATGATCTTAAACTCCTGATCCACCTGTCTCCATCTCCCAAATTCTGGGATCACAGGCATGCACCCCACATGCAACTGTGTAACTGAGTGCTCTTCTTGAGGGCAGTAATGAGCCATATATATATATGTATGTATGTATGTATGTATACATACACATATACATATGTATATATTAGTTGGGCTTTTGGTATCTTAAAAAAGGTTAAAGAGGGGCTAGAGAGATGGTTCGAAGGCTTGGTGGTGAAGAGCACTGGCCGTTTGTGCAGAGGTCCTGGGTTTGGTTCCCACCACCCACACGGTGGCTCACAACCATATATAACTCCACTTCCAGCAGATCCAATACCTTCTGGCCTTGTCTTCCCTAGGCACCAGGCATACATATACCTGCGGGGAAAACATTTATACAAATAAAAATTAAATTCAGATTTTTTTAAAAATAAAAAGGTAAAGGAGTATGAGATTTTTCTGTTTTGTTTTTATTTTGCCTTTCTTGTGGTGGTAGAGATAGAATCCAGGACCTCTTACATGCTAGGTAAATCATGGAGCCACAGCCCAACCAGACACTTGTCTTTTTATTCTTTCTTTTATGTGCATGAGTGTTTTGCCTGTATATATATATACTGATATATATATATATCAGTGTGCCACCTGACCTTGGAAGTCAGAGAGGGTGTTGGAGCCCCTGGAGCTGAACTAGAGACGGTTGTAAGCCACCATGTGGGTGCTTAGAACCAAACCCAGGTCCTCTAGAAGAGCAGCTAGTGCTCTTAACCACTGAGCCATCTCCCTAGCCCCCAAAACTTGGCATCTTTAATAAACACCTCTAGTCAAACAGACGGTAAAGCCTCTCAGAGGTCACAGCACAGACAAACCCCTGGGAGCTACTAAATCATGGGTTTGAAGAGCTCTTGGTAGGTCTGAGCTTTGGCAGTCTTGGAACCTCCAGGGACACTGACCAGCAGGCCCAGGACAGCAGCTGGGGACAGGCATCCATGTTCTACACACTGAAGCACTCCTCTGTCCCCTGTTGGGGACATAAACATTTTTTCTAGTGTTTGATCATTAAATCCTCTGCAGTGGACTCAGTGTGGAGCCAGGCAACATTTCAGAGCTGTCCGTTACACACTCGTTATCTCAACACATATCACTGATAATAAATCATGTCCATACAAAATGACTTCTCCTTGATGTTGTAACTAACAGTTCACTGCTGAGCAGAGCAACCCTGATCTTCACCCAGGAGACAGCTACTGTTTCCTTGGGGGCAAAACCAGTGCCAACGAGAACAGATGCCAAGTGATGCTAAGAGAAAGGACGTCAGCAAACCCCACGCACAGAAAGGATATTTGACAGGGGAATATTTACCTTAGGCTTTCCTAAGCCAGGAGCCTGGTTTTGGATCAGTCTAGATCCTGCATCAGAGTCACCAGCAAAGGGCTGTTAAAATGCAGACTGCAGGGCTGCCTTAGCCCCAGGATTCAGGTATGGAGCTTGGCAGGGGTTTACTGGCTGGATACCCCACTCAGAAGCCCACAAACCTAGACTCTAGTTTGGAAGAGACTGCCTTTTGGGGGTCTTTACAAATCATCTAATCCTGGGGTGGATCCAGTACAAGATGACTTCATGGTGTAGTTGACACAGTCCTAGTTCCTGGTTGCTCCCCAGAAAGTACTTCAGAGAGAAGTGGTGATGCTTAATATCTTCAATTTGACAGGACCTAGCATCACCCAAGAGAAATTTCCAGGCCTGTCTGTGAAGGAGTTTCTTGATGGGGTTCCCTGAGGTAAGAAGAGCCATCCTGAGCCTGGGGTCCTCGGTGCCCTGGACTGAACAAAAGGGAAAAGTATGCTGAGCTCTAGCGCTCTGCTTTCTGACCATGGAGCCCCACATGCAGGCTGTCATGCCTCCCTCCTAGGCTGGACTGCACCCTCCAACTGTGAGGCAAAGCAAGCCCTCCTTCCCATAATCTGCTTTTGTTGGGTGTTTTGCCACAGCAACAAGTCACGTGGCCCTTGTAGAAGACACAGAACAGCACCGTTGACATCAGGCTTCTCTTTCTTCCATTAAAAGAACAGGTGACTTAGAAGAAAAGCAAGATCTGTGTCCTCTCCTCAGAGGTCCTTCCAGTCTGTCCCATGCAGTTTCAGTGTGTCCTTGCTGGACCGGTCTATTTGTCTAGAGTGGTGAGCTGGGAAGACTCAGCCAATCAGGGAGCATTTCACCCCTCACCACCCCGAAGCAAAGGGCTGCCAGCAGATGAGTGGCAATGAGCTTGGGCTAAAGGGTTCATTGTTCCACGTGTAACTAATTTTTCCAGCCTTGCTGGGTGTCGCCCAGGTGAGCAGACACCTGGCCAGCCCCCAGGTTCCCTGAGCCTATCCACTTTCAGTTCGAGGTGGGTGGGTTCTGTGCACCTTGTGCTATCACACGGCAGCCACGCCCCCAGACTACTAATGGGCCTCCTCTCTGCCCTCTGGTCAGATGGCCTTGAGTATGGCACAGGGAGGCTAACCACTTTTCAGACTCTTCTTGCTAGAAATATTACACCCACTTCCTTATCTAAGCAGGAAATCAGTCCAAATTATAACTCCCAAGATTCTATTTACTGTAAAAATGAAATTCATTACATATATTAAATTGTTATTCAGCAAAATTTAAGACATAGCAAAAGCAAAGTAAATGTGACACTAATGAAGTGTTCTGACCTTGTTTATTAACAGCACTGGCATGTTTGAAAACTGCTACTAGATACTGAAAACTGCAAAAAGGTTAAAGCACAGCATAAGTGGTTTTATTGTTTCTGATGCTAGGGATGAACCAGGGCCCCCATGTGCTAAGCAAGCCAAGTCTTCCTGCTGAGCTTCACCACCCCCCCAGTCTTAGCCTTCTTGGTTTTACATCACTTCTTGCTAGAAATATAAATTAGATGGGGTGGGAGAAATGACTCCATGGTTAAGAATATTCATTGGTTTTGCAGAGGAGCCAGCACCAACATGGTGGTTCACAACCATCCATAAGTCCAGCTCCAGGGGGTCTGATGTCATCTTCTGGCCCCCAAGGACACCAGGCATGCATGTGGTACAAATATATATACATATATATGGACAAAACCCTCATACAGATGAAATAAAATAAATATAAAAACATTTTAACTAAATTAGAGAATGCAGGAAATCACTGTGAATGAAAAGCAGAATAGGAGCCATCTGTCTCCAAGCAGCTGAGGGAAGATGGTGGTGAAGACAAGAGTTACTTGTTAGGCCTTGCCCACATGTGGGGCTCTAATTTAGAGACAGGGACCGATAAGGAGCAAAGGGTCCCACACTCAACTGACTGTGTCATTAGAGTCTTTATCTGAAATCAGCGCTGGAATCGGACTAAAGAAAAAATAACAGATGCACATAAAACCTCACTGGTATAGGTTATCTCAGCTATGTTTATGATACTAGATTGTATGAGAGAGTCAATGAATGTCCAAGGAAGTACTACTGGGAAATCTGTGACACACACAACCTACAGGGCCAAAAAATATTCTGGAAGGATATCTGTATTATTATTATTGTCCTGGGGAGTTCAGAGACAGAACTCAAAGTACCAAAGTCACCACATCTGTAATCCCAGCTTTCCAGAGGCTGAGGCAGGAGGACTGATAGAAGTTTGAGACTAGTCTGAACTAGAGTGAGACCCTATCTCAAAAAAACCAAAATCCAATAATGACAATAGCCAAAGTCTGACCTTATTTTGGATATGAATTTGCATGAATAATGAGGCATGCAGAACAACACAGTAGAAATGCTACTCAGTGGAATAGTTACAAAGATGCTGACCATGATCATGCCCTAAATTTAGGACCAGAGGCGATGTTCACGTGCTTGTTTTGACTCTTCTCCATTTTCTGACTACCTACAATGATGTGATTCTTTCGCAGAACTAAAATCCAAAACTTCTGTAATGCAATCTCCTTCTCCCCTTCTTCCTCTTCCCTTTTGAGACAGTGTCCCAGTAGTCCAGACTGGCCTCCAGTTGGATTTGTAACTCTGCTCTCCTGACTCTCTTCTGCTTCTACCTTCCTAGTGCTGAGATCAAAGGTATATGGCACTACACCTGACTTAAGCCAATAGTTTTTTGCCCCTTTAAAAATGTGTTTGTCAGCTGGGCATTGTGATATATACTTTTAATTCCAATACCCCGGAGGCAGAGGCAGGTGGATCTCTGTGAGTTTGAATATAGCCTGGTCTACACAGTGAGTTCCAGGACAGCTAATGCTATATAGTGAGACCCTATCTCGAAAAAGAAAAAAAAAGAAAAAATTGTTTTTTATTTTATGTAAATGATTGTCTACATAGTACATAGTACACATAAATGTGTACTATGTGCAAGTCTGGTACATGTGCAAAAAAAGAATCCGGATCTGCTGGAACTGGAGTTACAGGTGAATTGTGAGCTGCCTGATGCAGGTGCTTGGACCTAGACTATGGTCTTAGGTAAGAGCAGTAGGTGCTCTTAACTGATGAGCCAACTCTAGCTCCTCACCTGGGATTGTCAATCATGTGCTCTATGTTAGGAACAATGACACTGATAGTGTGACTTAAACTCTCATAATGGACAAATGCGTTTTCTCTTTCTAGAAGTTAGAAAATACAGTTCTCTACTCGAAGCTGGAGTTGTTTTGCTTGATACTCCCATATCCTGGAGGTTACACCTGGTTCTCCCTGTGATATCCATCTTCTTTAAGCCAGACTGGCATGGACTAACTGGTGTCCTCCATAAGGGTTGAAGTCCAATCCCATGTGTGATGGTTCAGATCTGAAATGTCACACAAGCTCACAAGATAAAGGCTTTGGTCCCTGATATACTGTGTACAGGAGTGCGGCTTCAGGGATGCAACTAGATCTTTGTGAATCACCTCATTGAAGGGTTTATAATTTGATGGACACTTAGGTGGTGGCACTTAGTTAAAGAGAATGGGTTCTTAGGGGCTGTATCTTGTTCCCAGTCCCTTTTCCGCATCCCTTCCTGGATGCCATGAGGCCAGAGGCTTTACTCCCATGCAACAGACACAAAGCTATGGAGCCAGTTGAAAATGGACTGAAGTCAACAAGTAAAGCAACTCTTTCCTGCTTGTGATTGTTAGCAGCCGTTGTCAACATGGTTGGCTTTGTAATCACTAGGAGACATACCTCTGGGCATGGCTGTAATGACACTGACACAGAGATTTAACTGGAGAGGGAACATCTGTCCTAAGTCCCTAGAGATGGGTCCTATGGGCTGGGGAGTCCAAGCTGAATTAAAATGGGGAAAGGAGAAGGCCAGATGAGCACTGGCATTCACTGTGGATATGATGTGTTCTGGGTCCCTGTACTGCTGCTGCCCCTTCCCCAACA